GCTTCATCATTAGAAGAGAACAAAAATGCGGGTGTCCAGGGAGGAAACATCGAAAATTTGAAAATAAGCTCGTAAGTTAATTTGTCTAATGAACCCCGATATTTCGAATGGTTGAGCTGCAATAAGCACTCAAATTTGGTTTGAAAAACAAAAGAAATTAATACATTTGTTTACAAATAAATATTAGCACCGAAATAAAAGGTCATTTGAATGGTGAAAATTGTAGAATTAGCCTTTAGATTCTTAGCTTAGAATAGCTTGGAATCACGTTTGAACACAATTACGAGAATTCCACCGCAGCAACTTTCGTAATATGAATAATGGATGTTCCTTTCTTTTCCGCAACGCGTGTCGTCCACAGTCGTAGGGGAAGTCCCCTCTGTGAGTTGTGAAAGTTGTTTTAGTGATACGTCCAACAGATTTTCAAGATGAACTCGACGTCATACTCAAATAAAATTCGTGATAATCATATGTAATAGCACAACAGCTTTAGAAATTGTCGATAAACCCCCGGCTCGCGAGGCGAGGAAGGGATTTATCTGAGAATTTCCAAAGCACAAGTAGAATTTAATAGGACTATTCCACGAATGAAATTACCTCCAACAGAGTTCCAAAATCGACCATACGTATATTTAAAATAACTAAAAGCTACGATAAAATCTAAGAGGTAATGTTCTAGATCTTGCGCTGGTATTGGACATCGACATAGTGATCATTGTATTCCACCTTCTAAGATAGATGAGTCACAGTTTCATTGGCCAGTAGGGAGAAGAAGCGATACGAAACATGAGATAGAAAACCCGATTAGCTTTTTGAGATACACCTTATTATATACTTGGACCTTGAAGTATTTATGTATATATCTATTGTAATATATATCTTAGTGCTCTGAATCACTTATTATCTGAGGTCATACGTAAAATATATATATTTCTACGTATCTATGTATATTTCTCTTTCTTAATATAAATCTCAGTGCTCCGAAACACCTATTACGTGAGGTCAAATGTGAGGTACCTATGTATATTTCTTTCCTAATGTAAATTTCACTGCTCCGAAACACCTATTTCCTGAGATCTTACGTAAGGTATCTATGTATATTTCTCTTTCTTAATATAAATCTCAGTGCTCCGAAACACCTATTACCTGGGGTCAAACGTGAGGTACCTATGTACATGTCTCTCTCTTAATATAAATCTCAGTGCTCCGAAACACCTATTACCTGAGGTTCATTCAAGCATTTATTTATGTATATATAAATATACATAAATAAATGTAAATATATGTATATATAAATTTATATAACGTATTATACTTATATATATTTGTATATGTATATATATATATATATATATATATATATATATATATATATAATGTATATATATGTTTGTGTGAGTGTGAGTGTTATTTTCTTTACGTGTTTCTTCCACGCGCCGTGTGTTGCAGGGCCGTCGATGCCCGGGGTGTACGAGCTGTCCCGCAACGTGAGCTTCGTCCTGCAGAACGGCCACGCCGTGGTGTCGTACCCGCGCGCCTACCTGCCCAACGTGGCTGAAGTAGCGTGCATCCACTGCCGCGCCCCGCGCCCGCTCCCGCAGGTACCCGCAGCGCTACTGCGCTTCCGTTGGCCTTGGGCTTGAGGATGAATCGAGTGGGCTGGGCGATTTAAAATTATAAATTCAATGGTCGGAGGGATTTTAAATCATGAATTGTAT